CATTGTAGCTGAATGCAAAGAACACATTCTAGCAGCCCAGGGTGCAACTGTAGGGCAGGATTCACACTTTGTCACTGTTGTGGAGATAAGACGAGCCAAACCTGTTACAAAGCAAACAGGTTTTCTCTCTGCAGGGGCAGATAGAAATCCCAGAGCAGCTGGGAGCAGAGTGATTACAGGCTGCTTTGAGCAGCAAGCAGAAATTACTGTGGCTCCTCTCCACTCACATACTCTTTTCGTTTTATGTAGACTTGGGACTTGAGCAAGGTTGACTAGGTCACACCTTTTGGCAGAGCTCTGCTCATTCATTTTCAACTACATTTATTTAGCTGTACTCAAGATCTAAAACAGTTTAAGTCCTCTTCTCTAGCCTGTAGGGCTTTTTTAGCAGAGTGGATGTTACACCGGTGGATTTAGGAAGGGCCTTTTGAAGGACATTCTCAAAAACCAGCTGCACTGAGATGAAAAGACAAACTTTTTTCTCTTTCCTTTTCTTTTTTTAGAGTTCAGCACCAGACACAAAATCTGTAGCACAAACTTTTTGACTTTGGAAAATTAATGATGGTGACTCGGTTTCCCCTTCTTAGTTTACCATTTAAATAAACTCACACCTCCTCTTGATTTTGTTGATTGTGTTTTCTTGTGCGGTTCTAATAACTCTCTCTCATGAAAAAGCTCGCAGTATGATTGTCAACTGATCATTTATTTACATTTTTCCATCTGCTACACCAGCCTCGCTCATGGGACTGCAATGTAGTTATTGCTTTCAGATGCATTAGTAAGCAAATCAGATTTTTTCTTTTTCAGGTCTCGGTGCAACATTTTTTTAATAGCTAAAACATTAGCAGGAACATGATTTTAAACCCTGGTGTAGCTTCCAGAGGAAACTGAAAGACTATTGAATAATATAACATGCTGACTTATTACTTAGGAAATTGCAGTGCTTGTGGTGAATGACTTCTTGCAGGGTGTTAATGTAAAAACCCAGCAGAGCAGGGCTCACACTTTGCAAAAGACAACCTTATGGAAAACATATTTTACTCAGCATGGGATGATGCAAAACAGGTCCTCTCCCTCCCCCCCCCTCCCTGTCCCTCACCATAGTTGATTAATATTGCTAAATATTAATATAATATTAGATGCTGCTCGATTAATAATGCCAAATCTTGCTGACCTGTGCTTTTTGATTTTATGCTCCCTGCACTACATGGCTTTGTGTATATGCACGTGTGTGTGTGTGTGTGTGTGTGTGTGTGTGTGTGTGTGTGTGTTCAGTGGTGTTGAAGGCATTAAAGTGTGAACGCATTTCGAAATTGCTCTTAAATTGCCCACGGGACAGGTTTGGTGAATATATGCCTTACAGAGCTGATGGAAGGAGGACTACTCATCCATGGTGGAAACACTTGCGTAGGTAAACATAAAATGATTTTTTATGTATAGATATACACAGACATACTCTGCTTTCCCCACCATTCCAGCCACACTGATCAGTCTCTTCTGATCCTCCTCCTTACCCTCTTCTTTTTGATGCTTATAACTTGCTTCTTCTTTCCCCTCCTCCTTTCTTTCTCCCATTGCTGTGAAAGACGAGAACCTGATTTCTTCCACTAACTCCCCCCCCCCCCCCTCTTTATCAGTCTCCCTACCCAGTCAGGTTTAATCCTGTTAGTTATGGTGGATATATGGGGTCCTGCTCACTCTGACTATTCCAGTGAGACATTCCCCAAAGAGCAACCGTAGAGATTCAGTTGCACACTCAGTTTAGAACTACTTCTGTAGGGAAAAGTGTTCACGCAGATGGATTCGCCTGCTTTTACCAGAAAGTGTTTTAAATAAGGAATTACTGAAGTGATAATGTAGCAATTTAAAAAATATATATACACATTATATAGTACAGATTTTGGAGTGTATGTGGCAACTCTTGGTGTTTACTTTTATGCATGGAATGCCTGAAAACCATGAAAATTTGCACAGTCTTGCATTATCCTGAAATTACTTTAGAGTTGCAGTATGTAAATTCTCACCAGTAGATGTCAGTAGACTGCGGATTCTAGTCAACTGAATATTTTTCGTAAGTTTGAAATCATAGCTATGGTGGCCACTGTAGCATGAACAGAATTAGAGCTCAAAAGCATAAAATTTACACTTTAACCCATAATGGCTGTGGCCAGCCAGCTTGTTTCTACTACTGTAAAAAAGAACCCCCTATCCCCACCCCGCAAAAAAACAAAACAAAAACCAAAACAAAAGATTGTATGTTTTAAGATATTTGACTAATATAAACACTCCGAATTTTTTAATTGATTTGTTAAATATTTGGCAGCCCCCTCAAAACGCTGGCCGCTATTCATCTGTAGTCAGCGTAGGCTGTCTGTGCGCTCTTTACCTCAGCTGTCAATATGCCAGGTGAGAACTGCTGTCTGTTAACCCTTTAAGACCTACCATAGAACCAAGGCCGCTAGAGCTTACTTTATATTTTTACATGCTGTAGTGCCATTTTTGGGAGCATTTCAAGTTGCTATACATCAATACAACTGTTATAGCCCAAATTTTAATATGTATGCATTAAGTCCATAGTGACTACATAAATTGCAAAAAAGTGCAATAAACTACAAAAAAATTGAAAATCGCTTTCTACTTGGAGAAATTTAAGAGGTTTATCCCTCAAAACTTTAAATACAAAAAAGTTGCAAAAAATAGTTTACAACAACAGAAAATTTATTTTGAGTGTCTTCATAGTTTTATTTTTGAGATACACCAATTTTTATATACTGCAGAAAAAACAAAAAAACAATCCTATGATGCAAATTTGCAAAGACAACAGCATGTGCATCAAAATAAACTATTTCCAGCAGTGCAATTAGAGTTCTAAGCATCCCAGCAACTATTTAGAAAAGCATTAAGTCAAACATGACATGACTTATAAAAACACCAGTATAGGCTTTTAAGGCCTACAAGTAAAAAAAAACTACATTTTCTGCGAAAATGACGTCACTTTCAGTTTCGGGCAGGTAATGGCGGACATGCGATCATTAGCGCTGTCGTGTGTTTCAATGTGGGAAGTGTTACGAACAGCTGATCGGATAGGCTAAGCGTGTTTCTGGAATATTATGTTTTTGTTCCTGCAAGCGCTTTTTATGCAATATTTGCAAAGCTATATGTGGAAGGAAACCGTGACCTAGGACAAGCTGATGGCATAAGATGTAAGTACAATTGCTCCGGTTTCATATGCAAAAAAAAATACTGTGCTAGCTTACGCAGTTCCGGTTCTACAGGGATTTAAAAATAGTTACACGAAATGGAGCGTGCCTGCTCTGACCGGCTTTAAAGGGTTAACTCTGGATGAGGCTGTAAAACTTTGTGAAAGAAGCCCAGTATGAGATGATAAGTGATAGTGACACTGAGGTTAGTTGTTGAGAATGTCCTGGACTTTTCTATCAGTAGCTTTTGTTAGCCTCTGTTAGGTTTTGTTAGCCTCTGTTAGGTTTTGTTAGCCTCTGTTAGCTGCTGTTAGCTGCTGTTAGCCTCTGTTAGCTGCTGTTGGCCGGTGTAAGTAAAACGTTCTTTAAAATGAATCTAACATTGTTGGACTTGGACAGTGAATTTGCTCTCATATGATGGTGTATTGGGAGAAAAGTGTGATTTCTTTTTTTTTTTAAGGACACACAAAGCTATCATTAGCTGCCACAATTTTTGCTTAACAGCTGTTGTTGTTTAGCCAACAGCTGTCTGGAGATTGGGGGGGTCACACTTCTAATCTGCTGACAATAATATCAGGAATAAATAAACAACCACTCACCTGGAAGTGCAGGGCAGTTACGCCAGGCTGCTCTTTGTTGACTTTAGCTCTGCTTTCAATACGATACTCCCGGACAGACTAATAGTTAAACTGTTGGAAATTGGACTTCCTTCTACCACCTGCCGCTGGATCAGAGACTTCCTCTCAGACCGTGTACAGAGAGTTAGAGTGGGCCTCATCTTTCCTCAGCCCTCAGCCTCAACACCGGCTCTCCACAAGGCTGTGTACTGAGTCCCCTACTGTACACTCTGTACACACATGACTGTGTTATTTCCCACCCAGACAACACAGTCATCAAGTTTGCAGATGATACCACCGTGGTGGGGCTCATCTCAGGGGGAGATGAGACGGCATACAGAGCTGAAGTTCAGAGGCTGTCAGATTGGTGTGTAGATAACAACCTGGACCTCAATACCACCAAGACAAAAGAACTGGTAGTTGACTTCAGAAGGAGGAAGTCCGAGCTGCAGCCTGTCAGCATCAACGGGGAGTGCGTGGAAAGGGTCTCCAGTTTCAAGTTTCTGGGTCTGCACATACAGACCTCCAATGGAGCTCTAACACCTCTGCGGTCTTAAAGAAGGCCCAACAGCATCTCCACTTTCTGAGAATCTTCAGAAAAATGGACCTGAAGAAGGAGCTGCCGACCGTCTTCTACCGCTGCTCCATTGCATCAGTGTGTGGTTCTCCAGCTGCACCACAGCACACAGAAAGGCACTCCAGAGGGTCATCAATATGGCCCAAAAAAATCATTGGACATCCTCTTCCCTCCCTGAAGGACCTGTACAGCACTCGCTGTCTCAAGAGGGCACGCAGCATCCTACGGGACTGCACACACCCAGGACACGGGGTGTTTAAGCTGCTGCCGTCTGGCAGGAGGTTCAGGCTGCTGAGGTCCCGAACAAATAGACTCAAGGACAGCTTTTACAACAGGGCAATAGCCCTGTTCAATGTAAATAGCTGACCTGACTGGATACCTCCCTGGACTTTTTTTAGGGGGGAGGTAACAATGTTTAAAACAATAACAATAATAATATTTCTATTTATAACAAGGTGCAATAATAATTAATATGCAATAATAACAGTGTTAATACACATACACTTATTCTTTTTTATACTAAGTTAATATACTGTGTTTGTTACGGCCGGGACCGTTTCAGACGAGTGACAGGACTCAAACGCAAGACGCCGAACAGCTCGAAAATATATTTTAAGAATAATGTTTAATGTGCACACAAAATATTCATAAACAAAAGGTGAGCGTAGACGTTAACTAAATAATGATCTGGTCCGGGTCCGGGGATTGGACTGGAAAGCAAGTCACAAAAGGTCCAGGAAAAGGTCGGGGTCACTGTAACAGAATGCAAATGTTCAAAACATAGATAAGGAGGCATATGAATATGTTGTTTGGCTCAAAATCCTCCTTCGTACTGTGTACTTGCCAACGGAGGTCGGAGATGACATAGAGGGGGAGTAATCCGGGTGTGTAAATCCAAAAACTCCTGGCGTGGAGGCAGAGAGGCAGGTAGGTAGTTTTGGTGGTAGCCTGAGGGACTGCCAGAAGGTCCAGCATCCAAGTAGAAGCTCTTCGCCAGGGGTTTAACAGTTAGGTGTAGCTGAAAAAGGGAGGCGCACAAAAAACAAACATACAGTGAAGCAAAGGTGATTCACAAAAAAACACGTAAGGAAATTATGGTGGTGGCCTGCACTGACTGATGTTTAGCAGAGAATCTGGCGAAGAGAGATTGAGAACGCTGGCCTTATGAGTCCCCCGGCTAATTACCCACAGATGTCAACGATCAGCAAAAACACTGAGGCCCCTCCCAGGGGTGGAGACGCCGGCTCGGAGGGAGACACACTGGCACACACCCGGACCATGACAGTACCCCCCCCTCAAGGGACGCCACCCGGCGGCCGACCAGCACCCGCCCCACGACGTGACCTAAGAAAATCAGAAACCAGCACAGAGTCAAGCATCAAAGAACGAGGAACCCAAGAACGCTCCTCCGGCCCATAACCCTCCCAGTCCACCAAAAACTGCAGCCCCCTACCCCGCCGCCGCACATCCAGAATGCGCCGGACAGAAAACGCAGGATGCCCGTCAATGAGCCGGGCGGGAGGCGGGGGCACCGGAGGCGGGCACAGATGACTAGACACCACCGGCTTCACCTGAGAAACGTGAAAGACCGGGTGAACCCTCAAGGCAGCAGGCAAACGGAGCTTGACAGCCGAAGGGCTGAGGACCCTGTCCACAGAATAGGGGCCGATGTAACGAGGAGACAACTTGCGGGAGGATGCCCTGAGAGGGATGTCTTTCGCAGCGAGCCACACCTTCTGTCCAGGTGAGTAAACAGGCGCAGGAGACCGGCGACGGTCGGCACAGCTACGTTGGCGAGCCACAGCTCGCAACAGCGCCTCCCGCGTACGAGACCAGACCCGACGGCAGCGCTGTAGATGATGCTGGACCGAGGGGACAGCAAGATCAGCCTCCTCCACCGGAAACAGGGGCGGCTGATAACCCAAAGAGGCCTCAAACGGTGACAACCCAGTAGCAGACGAAACCAAGGAGTTGTGGGCATATTCCACCCACGGCAGATACGAGGCCCAAGTCGCAGGGTTATGACAGGTCACACAGCGGAGCGCGGCCTCCAGCTCCTGATTTAAACGTTCCGTCTGGCCGTTCGTCTGAGGATGGTAACCAGAGCTCAGACAAGGCCTGGCCCCCAAAGCAGCGCAAAAAGAACCCCAAACCTGGGACGAGAACTGCGGACCCCTGTCCGAAACTATTTCCACAGGAATGCCATGAAGCCGAAAAACATGGTCCAACAACAACGTAGACGTCTCAGCCGCAGTGGGCAACTTCTCCAAAGCGACGAAATGAGCAGCCTTAGAAAACCGATCCACGACCGAGAGAATAGTGGTCTTCCCAGCCGAAACCGGGAGTCCCGTAACAAAATCCAGGGCGATGTGGGACCAAGGGCGATGAGGCGTAGACAACGGCTGCAACAGCCCAGCAGGACGGTGAGTACGCGACTTACACCTGGCACACACAGGGCACGCAGCCACATACTCCCGAACATCTTTATCCAGAGTGGCCCACCAAAAATGTCTCTTAACCATAGAAGTCGTCCTGCCCCTGCCCGGGTGACACGCAAACCTCGAAGCGTGCACCCATTCCAGTACCTTGGAGCGAGCAGCCGCGGGAACAAAACGCCGGTTAGGCGGTCCCGTGCCCGGATCCGGTTCCGTCCGGAGGCCCCGGTCGATGGCGTCCTCCACCTCCCAGGTAATAGCTCCCACCGTACAGCCGGCCGGAAGAATGGTGGAAAACTCCGCCGGACCCGTGTCAGAGTCAAACTGCCGAGAGAGGGCATCCGGTTTGGTGTTTCTGGAACCCGGGCGATAGGAAATGGAAAAGTTAAAACGTGCGAAAAACAGCGACCAACGAGCTTGACGTGCATTCAACCTCTTCGCACCGCGTAGGTACGTCAAGTTCTTATGATCCGTCCACACCAGGAACGGTAGCGCCGCGCCTTCCAGATGATGACGCCACTCCTCCAACGCCAACTTAACGGCAAGCAGCTCCCGGTCCCCCACATCATAGTTCCGTTCCGCTGGTGAAAGCCGCCGAGAGAAAAAGGCGCACGGCCGCAGCTTAGAGGAGGGGCCGGCACGTTGTGAAAGCACAGCCCCCACCCCCACATCAGAAGCATCCACCTCCACAATAAAAGCCTTAGACGGATCGGGTTGAGCGAGGATGGGCGCAGTAGAAAACAGATGTTTCAGCTCCGTGAATGCGCTGTCAGCTTCGGCGGACCAGCCGAACGGAAGCTTCGTAGAGGTAAGGCGTGTAAGCGGAGCCGCCACTAGACTGTAGTTCCTTATAAACCGACGATAGAAATTCGCAAATCCCAAAAACCCCTGGAGTTGCTTGCGAGTAGAAGGCACAGGCCAGTCAGTGACCGCCTTCACCTTAGCCGGATCCGTCTTCACCTGCCCCCCTGCCAAGATGTATCCCAGGAAAGAGACCGATGTCAAATGAAACTCACATTTCTCAGCCTTGGCATACAGTCTGTTTTCCAAGAGGCGTTGAAGGACAGCACGGACATGTGAATGATGCTCAGCCAAAGACTTAGAAAAAATAAGAATGTCATCTAAATAGACGAACACAAAACGGTCGAGGAAATCCCGCAGGACGTCATTTATTAGGGCCTGAAACACCGCTGGAGCGTTCGTTAAACCGAAAGGCATAACGAGATACTCGAAATGACCCAGGGGGGTGTTAAACGCGGTCTTCCACTCGTCTCCCTGACGGACTCGCACCAAATGATAAGCATTGCGAAGATCTAACTTAGTGAACACCGTGGCACCCTGTAGCGATTCAACAGCGGAGCTAATGAGTGGCAAGGGATACTTATTTTTAACAGTGACGTCATTCAAGCCCCTGAAATCAATACACGGCCGAAGAGACCCATCCTTCTTGTCTACAAAAAAAACCCCCGCCGCCACGGGGGACGAAGACGGACGGATTAACCCAGCCGCTAATGAATCCCTAATATACTCCTCCATCGCAGCACGTTCAGGCCTAGAGATACTATATAACCGGCTCTTGGGCAGGGACGCTCCGGGGAGCAAATCAATCGCACAGTCATAAGGGCGATGGGGCGGTAGGGACTGCGCTTTGATCTTACTGAATACCTCCCGCAAATCATGATACTCAGGCGGCACCCCTGAGAGATCGGGGACATATTCGTCAGTCCCCGTAACCTCCCCCGGGCCGGGAAAACGGGCGGAAGTCAGACAATTGGAGTGGCAAAAAGGGCTCCAGCTGACAACCCTTTGCCCCTCCCAATCCAAGTGCGGATTGTGTAAGCACAGCCAGGGATAACCCAAAGTGAGCGGAGTATCAGGTGAATCGAGGACAAAAAAGGTGAGTTTTTCCCTATGATTCCCCGAAGTGCACAGTGACACTGGACCAGTGCGAAAAGAAATTCTAGTGAAAACCTGGTTATTAATCGCTCTAACTGGAATGGGCGGCTCAAGGCGCACGAGCGGAACGCCTAATCGTTCAGCGAGATCGAGACTGATTAAATTCTGTTCAGAACCAGAATCTAATAAGGCTGTGCACGAATGAGTACTCTGTAGCATCTCCAAGGTGACAGGGAGTTGTAAACGGGGTTTCTGACCAGAATTCGAACCGCCCACCCGTATCCCCGATTCTACCGGCGGGCGACACCTTTTCCCTCCTTCGGGCATGCAGCAATCAAGTGTTCCAGCGAGCCACAGTAAAAACAGGCATGAGCCCGACGCCGCCGCTCCCTCTCCTCCGGTGTCAACCGTGACCGGCCAATCTGCATAGGCTCCGGCTCGGGATCAGTGACGTAAGCCGAGGCGACAAACTCATGCGAGTCCACAGTCGGAGGCGGCGACGGTGACGTACCCGGAAACGAGCGCGGTAAACGGCGCTGGGATTTGTAGTTCCTGTCCCTCTCCCTGTCACGCAACCTGTTGTCAATGCGAAGGGAGAGGGACGCCAGTTCCTCAAAAGATTTTGGCTCATCACGGGAGGCAAGCTGGTCTTTCATACCCTCGTTCAATGCCCGGAAAAACACCCCACGCAGAGCGTCGTCAGGCCAACCGGTTTCGGCGGCAGCAGTACGAAAATCAATCAAAAAATCAGCAACCCTCTGACGGCCCTGGCGAAGATCCAGCAGCCTCTGCGCAGAACTACCCTCAGAAATGGGGTGCGCAAACGTTTTCTGGAATTCCCCCAAAAACACCTCATAAGAACAGGTTAACAAAGGATTCTTCGATAGATACGCCTCCGCCCATTTAAGTGCACGATTACACAGTTTACCCACCAAATAAGATATCTTATTAGAATCCGCAACAAATGTGCGCGGAGAACGACCGAAAACAAGGTCAACCTGAAGCAAAAACCCGCTACAACTCCCTGGATCCCCTGAGAATGGTTCGGGCTCCGGGGACGTAGCATCACGGAAAGCTGATGTAGGTGGAGATGCAACGGCAACAGGTTGAGGCAGAGGAGCTGGTGTACCGGAGTCTTGGCCCGCGGCGGAACCAGCAGCAGTAGAAATATCAGTTTGTAGAGCCTGGAGGGTCTCAAGTATTTTAGTTTGACCATCTCTAAGAGTCTGCTGCTGGGCTAACAGGAACTGAATAGATTGTTCATGACTTCCTAATATCGCCCCCTGCCTCTGAATGGCTGACCGTTCCGCGTCTGCTGAGTCCATAACTGCTGGCCAGATTCTACTGTTACGGCCGGGACCGTTTCAGACGAGTGACAGGACTCAAACGCAAGACGCCGAACAGCTCGAAAATATATTTTAAGAATAATGTTTAATGTGCACACAAAATATTCATAAACAAAAGGTGAGCGTAGACAACTAAATAATGATCTGGTCCGGGTCCGGGGATTGGACTGGAAAGCAAGTCACAAAAGGTCCAGGAAAAGGTCGGGGTCACTGTAACAGAATGCAAATGTTCAAAACATAGATAAGGAGGCATATGAATATGTTGTTTGGCTCAAAATCCTCCTTCGTACTGTGTACTTGCCAACGGAGGTCGGAGATGACATAGAGGGGGAGTAATCCGGGTGTGTAAATCCAAAAACTCCTGGCGTGGAGGCAGAGAGGCAGGTAGGTAGTTTTGGTGGTAGCCTGAGGGACTGCCAGAAGGTCCAGCATCCAAGTAGAAGCTCTTCGCCAGGGGTTTAACAGTTAGGTGTAGCTGAAAAAGGGAGGCGCACAAAAAACAAACATACAGTGAAGCAAAGGTGATTCACAAAAAAACACGTAAGGAAATTATGGTGGTGGCCTGCACTGACTGATGTTTAGCAGAGAATCTGGCGAAGAGAGATTGAGAACGCTGGCCTTATGAGTCCCCCGGCTAATTACCCACAGATGTCAACGATCAGCAAAA